TGTCCATGAAGTACTGGGAGTAAGCCAACTGAGTGCAGACTGAGTGAATGAAGGGTCACATGGTGGGACCAGGAGTTCTAGTGGTTACGTAGAGACATTCATCTCCCCAGTGTTGGGTACATGTGGTTCAAATAGCCAAGTCCAGGTGTGAGATCAACATCCTTATGGTTGATTGCACACGTGGGGAGTAGGAGTTCCTCTTCAAGAATTGGTTGATGCTGTAGCACTTTAAAGTAATGGTGCATTCTGAACGGGTGTTGGTGGAGAAATGCATGCATGACTCCTGAACCTAGAAAGAGTAATGATAAAACAGCAGAGCACCTGCCTGCCTGTGGTCATGAGTGACTCTCTCAGTTTCTTGTTAATGCCTGCCACTTGACAGGTTAGTAGTTACAACTTTCGGGTTCTGTGTAGGTAGGATAGTTAGGATAATAGTATTTTGTGGGTCATTCCAGACAGGCTATGAGTGATCCATGTTCTTGTGTAGTATGACTAAATCAGGATCTCTATTCCTCAGGGATTACTATAATTTTGTCGGATGCACTTAAGACATTTTCATCTGTGCAAGTAATATTTTTTTACTGTTTTATATGCTACTAAGTGATGTAGGATGTACGAAGGTTGTTTAATGAGTTCTTTGTTCTTGTGTCTGTTCTGGTGTATGTAGTACCCCCACATTATTAGTTCTTTTAATAATTTTGTTGATGCCATGTACAACTTTTGTTTCCCATTGTAGTGATGTAAGCTACGCTAAGAAATTACTCTAGTGCTTGTGTACAATTATTGATTCCGTCTGTAGTGTTGGAAGGAATAAAAGTGTTTTTTTTTTACCAGTGCGTCTCATTAACCCTAATCACTGGTACTAGCTATTCCATGGTCACAGAAAATACTTTTATTAATTGTGTTTGTGCTGGTTCGGTATTCTCTGAGGGGCGCTTCCACTGCATTACCATCCACTATAACTCAAAAACCACAATAGGTAGAATTCCGACCGGTTACATATATAAGGACTTAGGCTATGATATAGTGGGATTTTAAACATTGTTCTGTAAGTACGGTGTGCACATAGCATGTGTTCCAACTGCAGAACATTCTCCGGAGCGGAACCCGTTTGTAACCCGGGGACCCCCTGCATTGTATTTTTTCTATTACATATTTAATATTCTATATTATCATGATAAAACTTACACCATAAGAAGCTATCATATGTGAATACCTGTATAATAATGAATACTGTAAATAAAATCAAACTGACAAATACGACACCGCCACACACACACACACGTCTCAGAGTCAGCTGGTTGACTGCCTGGCTGAACTGTGTGGAGTCGCTTAGATGATGGTTTGAGTGTGGAAGAAGCTAGTTTTGGTACATAAAATATGTGCAATTTTATTTTAGGGTATGTTATGTATTACAGTAATCTTATTGCACAGCAAATTTTGTTAACAAAGCGGTTATTGGTGGCGAACCTGGTATCAATGACTTCAGTTCTGCTCTGATTGTTGGACTAAATTAGAATTTTACAGAACAGGACAAAGTTCAGAAACAGGCATCCTGCATTATGGAATACTTGGTGATGGAATTTGTATAAGGAATTTTGAAATTATGCCCAAAATTTTGGGCCTACGAGAAAAAAAAAAAAAAAAATCACCCATACGGAATTTGGTTAAATAAAAAAATAAACAAATAAATATTTTTAACTAAAAATTTTTACCAAAATTTTACAAATAATTTTGTGCAGACTCTTGTAGCTACAGTCCCACAACAACAACAACAATGGTTTCCGTTTGTTTGAATCTCCAGCCAATATTCAGCTGTGCCTCTCTTTACTGGACTGTATTACAGGTATTGTACTGTGCATTCTTATTTAAGATGAGTGGAAAGTGGCCATCAAGTGGAAGTGCTAGCAAAATATGATGTGTTTAGGAGGTTTGACCAGGGGGAGAAGCTGAGTTACATTGTTAAAACTTTGGGCATTGCTACCTCCAAGTCGGAACAATCCGTGATACCAAAGACAAAAATTAGGACTAGTGATAGTGACTACTCCTAAGCCAGCTCGTACACTGTATTTTCATCGTCGTGATGTTATAATAAAAATCGAATGGCTTTTTTTTTATGGGGAATAGCCCACCTGGGCACAGGTCATCGACCCACATCTGGGCCTAGGGGGCAAACAAATAAGAGTAAAAAGAAATTAAAAACAGAAGAGAGTTTGTGGGGTAAGGGGGTATCATTTCATACCTTCCTTTCAGACTTGAATAGACAACCCCAATATGTAAGCAAGCATTTCACTGAATAGTAAATACTCTAAGCCACATATTGAGACCTGAATATAGTGTGTGTACATCTAGACTACAGATTCTAGAGGATAGCCATCAAATATCTGACAGACTGTTAATCTCCTTCACAAGTATCCTAAGCTTCCTACTTACTGTTCCCTCTGTAAACAGAAAAACAGGACAAGTTTCCAGGAGAAAAAAAAGTCTCACACAGATAGTTATACACATAAATACATATGAAGATTATTTGAATATAGTACCAATCTTTAACTGGTCAAGCACTACATGGCAAGCTTAGTGCACATTAAAGAAAGATATGACCAAGCAATCAGATACACTACAGGACAAACTGTGTGAGGGCAACACAACAACATGCTGGACTAACAGAGGAGAGGTGGAACATGCTCTTGTAGACAGGACAGAGGTCATTACTATATAAACTAAAGTCTATAAAGCATAAAGGACATTAATCTTCAAACCTTATCCTTACTCTTCCACATCTAACCCCTTCTAGTAGTTTGAAACTTATCTGCTGTTACAGTTGCAAAGGATATCTTTATAGGTGTAACAGGATACATCTATGGTAAAGTGAGTGAGTGAGTGAGTGGTGAGTGTGTGTGTGTGTGTGTGTGTGTGTGTGTGTGTGTGTGTGTGTGTGTGTCAGACAGGTAAAACAAAAAGTGTACACTGTATGGATGGCATGAAGGACATACAGAACTATAAGTGAAGGGGTTGAATGTCCAGGTTTCAGCAATATAGACAAATGATAGAGTTTAATGTGGACTGGTTTATGGGTCTGTTACAGACTGTACTGTATAGTGAATGGATGCCAACAGACGAAGAGAGAATTTGTGTTTGCTCTTGGTTCTAGCCATCCTCCAGCATAGTAGGAAATAGCTTACAAGAGTAAGGAAAAAATAACAAATACTGAATACAGGTATACTGTACTGTATGTGCAAATATGTAATAATAACAAATAGCTTTACAGTGCATTTAAAAAGCATTATTCCTCTGTGATATTAAATTGTCCCTGACTATGTAAACCTGATTGATTGACTTATGACAAGGACAGTAAGTACAGATGATACTGGTTTAAAAACAAAAATAAAACAAAGATAGAAATAGAAGACTGATACATGAAATACTGTTTCATAGCTGAGGGAAGAAGCGACCAATGAGATTCCACCAACTACACACTGGAAGACCCCTAGGCAGAGCATACCATTGCCTGAGGTATAGTGTGTAGCAGCAAGTTAATCAACACAACTAGTCCCCACACTATGAACCAGGATTAAATTAATGATCTGAACTCTTAGCCCCATGGTTATTTTGACTGTTAGTAACAAACCTCACCAGTTGGTTTATTTGTATCTTAACCCGAACCAATAAAAAAGGAATCATTTGGTCTAACATTCACCACATTAACCCTAACAAGGCAGTAAGGAGGAAAAAGTCCCTCGACTTCTCACATAATAAAACTGGGGTTCATGCTTCAATATTTCAGCTACTGCCTTTTAGGTCACCAACAACACCTACGGGATCCTATTTCAGAATGATCTATGTTGTGGAGGTCTTATATCCAAGGAACCAACTCATAAGCAATAGTTAAAAAATAAGCTAATTGTAATTTCATATCGGTGAGCAAATACAGAAAAATATAAAAGCCTTGGTAATTCTCTCTGGGAAAGCAAAACTCGCAATCAGCAAGCGTAATGTTTCAGTGTCAAGCAACCTTCTCAGACCTGAGGGACAAAGTTTTGTAGTTCACAAATAAATATTAAGCTGATTTAGTCATTTGATGATCCTAAGTGACTATATTTGGGAAATCCTTTTAAAGAATTTCCCCCTTAACACCTTCCCTCAAATAGACCTCCCCACCCCTAGCAAGTTTGCAGCATGTGTGATTGGTGTAGGGCAGTAAGGTAATGCATATATTTTTCTACCTCACTATCGGATCAGAGATGTGACTGGGGATTGAAATCAGAGCCCATAGGGTGGCACATTGATGTACAGTAGTCCTAGAAAATTCCACTAAGTCAGTATCTGCACCCACTGCATCAGGTATTTTAGCCTCCAAGTACTGTACTAACATCTATCAGGAATCTACTTGGATCATTTGCAAAACAACTTTCATTACGACAAAAACCAAGATGTCTCACTTAACACCACTCACTTTATACATGCACTACCTAGTTAAAATATAAGGACTGTTACAAGCACCAACACTATCAACATCTAATGACAAACTGTGAAATAAATAGTCTCCAGTTTGATCCAAAGGAAGACTGACAGTCAACTATCTATGTCTGTACAGCTTAAATGTGAGAAGTAAATATAAGGGTCTTAGTATGGGATGTATAATCATTGCTACTATAGGTCTGAGGTACAAGTGAACCAACAAAGAGAGTTTATTCCAGTGAACCTGAAGCCACACTGGTTTTCAAAGCAGCAGGGATAGAAATTCAAAATACAAGTGACCCTGGTTTGATAGGTTAGGAGATACTGTGCAGTAATTACACTGATCTGTCAAGGTTGTATAACCTGTAGCTGAACAGTCCAGACCCCTGGTAATGGTGGACTCTGGTGAGTTCTCATCGGTGCAATTCCACTCACTTGTTGATGATCAGTATTCTATAAAAATCCTTTGAACTGTGTACAAGATAATTGTCACTGTTACATTCAAATTCTATTGTACTGTCCTTCAGGATTCAGCAACATACCTTGCCAGATCCTTTTGAAGTACCATCATCACCTTGTGAGACTCTTCATAATACTGAGCCTGAGCCTCAACGAGCTCATTCAAGTGACGTAGGTGCGCTGCTTGTGAGGATCTGCAATAAAGACAAAGACAAGTATCTATTACCCACATACCAGTTTGAAATGGATGGCAGCAAAAAAGAGCAATGATTGAATATTTAGATATCTCTTCTTTCTATCTTACATTTTAGACTGTTTCCCTCACTTGTCACCACTAACCCCCTCTTCTTTGCTCTTCAGTTTTATTTCACATGCCTCTAAGTCATCCAGGTTCCTTTCATTAGTATAATTATTTAATTTTCTCACCTTTAAGTCAACAGTACTGGATACAGAACAAAGGTACACAAACAAAACAGATGGCAGATGACCATTAACAACAGCTGTACTGTACTGTACTGTACTGTACTGTATCGTACTATGCCGTGCAATACCATACTGTACATTGTAATGTACAGTAGAACGTCGATATAACCGCAGCGATACGTTCCAAGACAGGTCGCTTTAACCAATTCCCACTAAATCGAAGTGTTGTTTCAATGGAATAATTTAGTTTGGTACTTGAGAAACACAAAATACTAAAAAGACTGAGAGCCTACCCAGATGCACCTCAGCCCATCTTCTAGAATAAAAAAAAACATTGTTTTTTGTAGGTAGTCATGCGAGTTAACGTCCTAGATACGTTCTTGGAAACGTGACGTTAACCGAAATGGACGTTGTCCGATCATCACATAAACTTTGTCTTTATACTTACGTGTATGTGGAATACTATATACGCACATACACTCTTAATCTTAAAATCACTACTGTAATGTGATACAGGCGATTAATTTTTATCTCTTGTGCAAAATACATGACGTTTATATTAAAATTATTAACCCGTAGTGGATTTCTCTACGCTGTTTGTCGCTGCATAGCCGACCCAGCGAATTCCACAGTGTATGCCTCGTGGTCTAGGTCAACCAGCGCCGCCCACGGAGGCGGGGTCAACTACTAAGCCACGCCAACCCCCGCTATTTAAGACCTGACCTCGTGGGCTCTTGTGGTAAGCCGGTACGCTCTTGCCGCAACAGATTGTTTGGACACCTAAACTTGAACTGACACAATCCGGAGGTGGTGACCCGGATCACACACCCAACACAGACAAAGACCAAATACGTGCGCTATGCCTTCAACAAATCGTGCCAGCACATCTCTCTCCCACTTCAATTCCTTCTAACCTCCTACTCCTTCCTCTGTCATCTTCCCCGCTCTGACTTTCGCTACCAACAACTTTTGGAGCTTCTAAACTTGAACTGTGATCGCGCTTTTTCTACCTACACCAACCAGCCAGCAACACCACCTCCTCCTCCTCCGCCTGCCTGGCGGTCCTCGCTCCCGCCGGCGAGCATGGCGACCCACAAGCTGTCCTCCTCTGAGCGTCCTCACCAACCAGCTCTCTCTACATCACGCTTGTAACCATGCTGCCTTCCCAGCACTAAGCTGCATTGTACATCCAATACAACATGTATACAGAGAGCACATTGTGAGTTTCCTTTCTCCAACCCATCCTGAGTGTGAACCAAACATCTAAAAACCCCACAACCGTCTTACAAGGATTCCAGCAATGCTGGGCAGATGGGGAGAGGGAAGAGGAGCGAGGGGTCATGGGGGAGGGGAAGCAGGAGGTGAGATAGTACGTTTGACAGTTGGTGCAGAGTGTTTATTTATCAGTTCTTAAGTGACTAAGCTTCTCTCTTATAAAAAGCCAGTGAAATAACCTGGGTGAACATAATTTACATTGCTGGGATTCTTGTAAGATAGTGATTAATTTAAATATAAACAACATATAATTTGCAATAGACATAACAATTTTAGTACCGTAATCAAATTAGTACATGTGCACTCCAGCTTTGCACTAGGGTTATTTATTTAGCGTTTCTTTTAGTATGGTGTGTGCATGTAAATGGATGAAAATAAATGAAGATATTTACGTAAATCTACTCAAAAATACAGTTGAAAAACTTTATATTATAAAAATGTACTACAGTACTGTACACTAATGTACTATTTTATCTCTTGAGTAAAATATATGACGTTCATATTCAAATTATTGGCTGTCTTGCAAGGATTCCAGCAATACAATTATAATCTCCTAACTTTAGTCTGAGATATTATATAAGATAAAACTGTAAGCCTAAAACCTGGCAGAGAGGGAAGGAGGGAAGAGGCATCCAGCCAGAAGTGGTGGGGAGGGTTGAGGTGATATGTTTGACAGTTTCTGCCGAAGGTCTGTGTGTTTATTTAACACTCCTACTAAGCTTCTCTCCTTTTAAAATGCCAGTGAAATGACCTGGGAGAATATAATTAACATTGCTGGGATTCTCACAAGACAGCGACCAATTTGAATATAAACAAGCTATAATTTGCATTAGACATACAAATTTTAGATCTAATTTAAGAATTTTATTACAGAGCAAATTTTTTTGTCTCTTGTGTAAAATATGTGACGTTTATATTCAAATTACTCACTGTCTTGCAAGGACTCCAACAATGCAAGTATAATCTCCTAACTCTAGTACAGAGATATTATATAAGATAAAACTGTAAGCCTAAAACCTGGCTGAGAGAGGAAGGGAGGGAGAGGAGGGAAGTGAGGTGTGCTTTGACAGTTAAGGCGAAGTCTGGTGAGTTTTATTTGTTTATTTATGTTTAAATCAGCTTTTGTTTTGCTCATAAAATTTCATGAAATGACCTGGGAGAATATAATTTACATTGCTGGACTCACAAGACAGCGATTAATTTCAATACAAACATGCTATAATTTGCATTAGACATACAAATTTTAGATCTAATTTAAGAATTTTATTACACAGCAAAATTTTTATCTTTTGTGCAAAATATATGACGTTTATATTCAAATCATCCGCTGTCTTGCAAGGATTCCAGCAATGCAAATTATATTCTCCCAACTTTAGTCTGTGATTTTATATAAGATACAAACTTAAAGCCTATTGTATAACCAGAACCCTTTGCTGGGAGGAGGGAGGGAGGGAGGGTGACAGAGACATGTTTGACAGTTGGCGCCTGTGGTGAGAAATATTATTGTTAATTTATGTCCTTTAGGTTGAGTTTTGTTTTTGCTTATAAAATTTAATAGAAGTGACCAGGGTGAGGGAGGTGGTGGTGTGAAGTAGGTGTGGGTGGTGCTGTGAGAGTGTTGGTGGTGAGTGTGAGGAGGTGTTGGTGGTGGTGTGAGGGAAGTGTCAGTGGTGGTGTGAAGTAGGTGTTGGTAGTGTGAGAGTGTTGATGGTGATGTGGGGAGGTGTTGGTGGTGGTGTGGGAGGTGTTGGTGGTGGTGTTGTTGGTGTGAGGGAGGTGTTGGTGGTGGTGTGGAAGTAGGTGTTGGTGGTGCTGTGGTGGGGGAGGTGTTGGTGGTGGTGTTGGTGTGGGGAGGTGTTAGTGGTGTGTGGGGTGTTGGTGGTGAGTGTGTGGGGTGTTGGTGGTGGTGTGAGGGAGGTGTTGGTGGTGGTGTGAGGGAGGTGTTGATTGTGGTGTGGGGATGTGGGTGGGTGGTGTGGGGTGTTCGTGGTGGTGTGGGGAGGTGTTGGTGTGAGGAAGTGTTGGTGGTGGTGTGGGGAGGTGTGGTTTGGTGTGGGGGTGTTGGTGTGGGGGTGTTGGTGTGGGTGTGGGGGAGGTGTTGGTGTTGGTGTGGGGAGGTGTTGGTGTGGGGAGGTGTTGGTGGTGGTGTGGGGAGGTGTTGGTGTGAGGAGGTGTGGTGGTGGTGTGAGGGAGGTGTTGGTGGTGGTGTGAGGGGGAGGTGTGGGTGTTGGTGTGGGGGAGGTGTCGGTGGTGGTGTGGGGGAGGTGTGGGTGTTGGTGTGAGGGAGGTGTGGGTGTTGGTGTGGGGGGAGGTGTTGGTGGTGGTGTGAGGTGTGGTGGTGGTGTGAGGTGTTGGTGTTGGTGTGAAGGTGTTGGTGGTGGTGTGGGGGTGTAGGTGTTGGTGTAGGGAGGTGTGGGTGAGTGGTGTGGGGAGGTGTTGTGGTGATGGTGTGGGAGTTTGGTGTTGGTGTGTGAGGGAGGTGTTGGTGTTGGTGTGAGAGGAGGTGTTGGTGTTGGTGTGAGGGAGTGTTGGTGTTGGTGTGAAGGGAGGTGTTGGTGGTGGTGTGGGGGAGGTGTTGGTGTTGGTGTGGAAGAGGTGTTGGTGTGGGGAATTGGGGAGGGTGTTGGTGTTGAGAGGAGGTCTTGGTGGTGGTGTGAGGGGAGGTGTTGGTGTTGGTGTGGAGGAGGTGTTGGTGGTGGTGTGAGGAGGTGTGGGTGTTGGTGTGAGGGAGGTGTTGGTGATGTGATTGTGAGGGAGGTGTTGGTGTTGGTGTGGGGAGGTGTTGGTGTGGGAGGTCAGGTGTTGGTGTGGGGAGGTGTTGGTGTTGGTGTGAGGGAGGTGTTGGTGGTGGTGTGAGGGGAGTGTTGGTGTTGGTGTGAGGGAGGTGTTGGTGGTGGGGTGAGGGTCTTGGTGTTGGTGTGGAAGGAGGGAGTGTTGGTGGTGGGGTGAGGGAGGTGTTGGTGTTGGTGTGAGGGAGAGGTGTTGGTGTTGGTGTGGGGAGGTGTTGGTGTGGTGTGGAAGGAGTGTTGGTGGTGGTGTGAGGGAGGTGTTGGTGGTGGTGTGAAGGAGGTCTTGGTGGTGGGAGTGAGGGAGGTGTTGGTGTTGGTGTGAGGGGTGTTGGTGGTGGGAGATTGGGGAGGTGTTGGTGTTGGTGTGAGGGAGGTGTTGGTGGTGGTGTAAGGAGGTGTTGGTGTTGGTGTGGGGAGGTCTTGGTGGTGGGGTGGGGAGGTGTTGGTGGTGGTGTGAAGGAGGTGGTGGTGTGAGGAGGTGTTGGTGGTGGTGTGAGGGAGGTGTTGGTGGTGTGAGGTGTTGGTGGTGGTGTGGAGGGAGGTGTTGGTGGTGGTGTGAGGAGGTGTTGGTGGTGGTGTGAGGAGGTGTTGGTGTGGAGGGAGGTGTTGGTGGTGAGGAGGTGTGAGGGATGCAGGTGGGAGGAGGTGTTGGTGGTGTGAGGAGGTGGTGTGGAGGTAGGGCTGGTGGTAGGAGGTAGGGTTGGTGG